TTTTTTTTTTTTTGGTACCAAAGATCGAACTCAGGACCTTGTGTTTGCAAGGCAGGTGGCGGTACCACTGAGCTATATCCCCGGCCCTGTTTTTATGTTTTTTGAGACAAGGTCTTGCTATGTAGTTCAGGCCAGCGTTGAACTCACTGTATAGTCCAGGCTGGTCTTGAATTTACTATGTAGCCTAGGCTGGCCTTGAACTTGTGGCTATCCTGCCTCAGCCTCTCAAGTGCTGGGCTCAGAGGCGTGTGGCCACCATGCCTGACTTAGAGGCCCATTATTATTGTAGTTATTTGTTTTTGTTGAACTGGGAATCTAACCAAGGTCTTATGCATGTTAGTCAAGAGCTGCACCCCTGAGCTACATCCCTAGCTCCCAGCTTTTTTATTTGCATGTTTTTACATTGTTGTAGTCATACACACATTCCCTTGTATACTACTTTCAAAATTTTATATCATGTATCAAAAATATTTTGGGGGGACTGGGGATTTGGCTCAGTGGTTCTGCCACTTGCCTTGCAAGCACAAGGTCCCAAGTTCAATCCCTGGTATCAAAAAAAAAATTTTTTTTCACATTACTACATAGCCTTCCAAAAAAGCAAAAGCTATGAGCTATGATTGAAATATATGGTGAAGGTATAATTTTAAAAAATTATTACAGTAAAAGACATATTGCCATTAATCTTCCTCAAAATACTCTTGCTTGGAACACACTTGTTCCATCATTTTTGCCACTTTCTGAAGCAGTTCCTGAAGTTCTCCTTTGTATCTTTGCAAGGTATGGTCACAAATACAGTGAATGCTGCTGCTGAGTGTCATCCAACAGAAAGGCAGGCCTGTAAGAACATTACAGTGTGTTCCCATTCACCTTATTTACCGTATCTGGTGCCATGTGACTTCTGGCTCATCCCCAAAGACAAAAATGACCTTGAAAGATAAAGGTTTTGAATTAATTCTAGACAGTGTCAGGCAGCTATGACAGTGCAGCATGAAAAGGGATTTCCAGAAGTGCTTCAGAAAGCGGCAAGAACATGGGATAAATGTGTTTGAAATGAGAGAGAGCAATTGGAGAGGGATTAATGGCAGTATGTCTTTTACTGCTGTATAATAAATTTTTTTAATTGACAAATATTTATTGTTTGCCAAGTGTGTACAGTACTTGTGGGAAATGCAATGAAACGTAGTATTTGGGGAAAATAAAACATGCGATGATCTCAGAGTGAGAAGAACTAAGTCCCATATGAACCATCATGGCATCTGAGTGCTCTGAATTGGGGATGGTGGATCTGTAGCAGATCTTCTAGAATTACTGTTAGCTTTTCTCATATTATTGTCAGATATTTACAAAAATTTTGGAAATAGAATCACATAGAACATGTTTATTTTACTGGAATTAGACTGCGTGTTTGGTTATGATTTTCAAAATGGTATTCTGTTCTCATTGATATTTAAGTTCATTTGAATCTCTCTTATCTCTTCAAAAACATTTTTAGAGAGGCCAAATTTGGTCCTTCTGTTATTAAAGGATAAATGCTGGATCCTCTGGAAAGTCTGTTGTGCCCTGTGTAGAACTCCTAACATGACAGTTTAACAAATTTTTCTAACAATTTGCAAGAAGCAAATACTTTTCATGTTTCTTTATTTCTCATGTGGCTTCCAATTACTGTTCAACGTCCTTTCATTCGATAATGAGTGATTTCCATTAGTGTCTTTTGTATGGCAGTTTTCATGGCAGAAGACTCATCCAGGTTTTCTCTTCAAATGTCTTTTTTATCTTGATTAAGCAATAAGTTTTAGTTTATTAGATGAAACAGACTTGCAACATAGTTTGCATGGATGCAAAATAAGCATCTTCAGCAAGTGATAAGAAACTGGGCCAAAAGGGAAGAAACATACATTGAGAAAAAAAAGGGGGAGCGGTTTTCTGGAAATTAAAAAAATTAAAGCATTAAAAGGACTTTACCAAGAAATGTTATCTCCCCCACCCCAGTTGTTGGAGGGCCACAAGAGCATGTAGCACTGCGTTCATGTCAAATGTCAGATCAGAGCATCCTAATGCAAACCCCCCGCAAAAAACAACCCTCCCACTCCAACCATAGAACACTAAGTCCAGAGTTCAAATTCAAAAGAAGAGAAAATGGTAATTGAAGGAGGCGATATGAGCAGTGACAATACTGTGACGGTGTTGTGATTTCTCTCCTTGGGAGTGGGGGATGGGTGGAGAATGTTCTTTAGGATTTGCAGTTAGGGGCTAACCCTGTGAGGTCCTCGTGAAGTTCATCCCTCGAGTTGACACAGGAAGGTTACACAAACCAATTTCTGTACAGAATCCCCATCAGGACCAGTTTCTCCTGGATCTCCAGCGGGTTCATGGCATCTAGCGGGTCCTGCTTGTTGGCAGTGTTGAGGATAATGGCGTCCCTCACCTCCTGGTCATTGAAAATGAGGTGCAGCTCCTGGTGGGCAGCCTCCATGTGGTCTCGGTGGGCGCAGTCCACTGGAAAGATCAGGGTCCAGCTGTAGTAAAGCCTCCAGAGCTGAGGAGGCTAGTCCTGGCTGCCTGTTACAGGAAAGAGAACCTGGCAAAGCTGGCTGGGGAAATGGGTGGGAAAATCTGTATAATAAATTTTTGAAAAATTTCTGGGCTGGGGATGTAGCTTAGTGGTGCTGTGCCTTTCTGACAAGCGCAAGGTCCTAAGTTCGATCCCCGGTACCAAAAAAAAGAAAATAGAAAAAATTCTAAATAGTCACTGTTTTTTTCGTTTGTTTGTTTGAGACAGGATTTCACTGTTTAGTTCAGGCGGGCCTTGAACTCACTATGTAGCCCAGGTTGGCCTTGAACTCTGGGTGATCCTCCTGCCTCACCCTCCCAAGTGGTGGGATTACAGGTGTGCACCACCACGCCCAGCTTCACTGTACATTTTGATCACACCTTATATCTGTTCACGTCCTTGCTTATACTTCTTTGGAAGCATATTCCTTGAAGTGGAATTGCTAGGTCATATGGTAATTTAACTTTTAAGGAACTGCAGTACTGTTTATGATGGCCACACCATTTTACATGCCCACCCACCAGCAGTGCACCAGGTACCCAATTACTTTTAGAATAAAATGGGTACTAATTTATAATGTTACTGTTGTAGTCAGGGTTTTAGGCAAGAGAATATATTTACTACAGGACACACAGTTTATAGGATTATTTTATGGTAATTACCCAAAAAGTCAAAGGCAAAGGAGTGCAAAAGATTATCCGTACACTAGGGGCCCAAAAAATCCAGCTAAGGGCCTGGATCCCAGCAGTGCCCCACACAAGTCCAGTTAAAGGCTTAGAGCCCAAGGCAGTGTCCTCCACAAGTCCAGCCAGTGCCCTGCAGCCCACAGCGATGTCTCATGCTTGTCCGTATTGGGGATCTGCAACTGGAAGGCCCAAAGGCCAGTGGTGGAAGCCAGAAAAACCTATGCTGGTGAGATGAAGGATTTGTGCCACCAGGCTGTGGGATCCACATTGGAGCCAGGAAGTGATGTTCATGATGAAGATCAGAGCTCCCCTGACAAGAGCAGCAACCATTCCCAGTGACAGCAAGGCCCCAAGCTCCTCCTCCAATGAAACCAACCTAGTTCACATCACGAAAACCATCCCCAGAAAAGCTTCTCCTAGAAAATCAACAGGCCAAGATCTTCCCCTCCAGTTCTCTCTTTTGGGTATTGGTAACAATCATCGGGTGGATCTTCTACACCCAAACCACAATGATTCAGTTCAGCTGGGCATTACAAGTTGACCATTAGTCCACTACAGTTACCAAGTAATATGAGTGCCACATTCACAGTACTAGTATCATTACTGTGTATTATAATTTTTAAAAAAAATTAGTAATTAATCTGAAAGAAATAATGTTTTTAAAAATGTATTCATTGATTGATTACAGTACTGGAGATTGAATAGAGGGCCTCCATACTGAACTATATCCCCAACCCTTTTGCCTTTTGAGACAGGCTCTTCCTAAGCAGTTAAATCACCCAGCCTGGGCTCATACCTGTGATCCTTCTGCCTCAGCCTCTCAGAGTGCTAGGATTGCTGGTGTGCACCACCACACCCGATTTGTATTTATTCTTCTGACTAATAATGAAGTGGCATACATCTGTCAGTCAGTTTTTGATGGAAGCTGGATATCAGGGTTAGGCTTTATACTCTGAAGAGGCCTAGTAGCCCAGCCCTGGTTGTGATCCTCTTCCTCTGAGCAAATATATTGGGAACCAAATGAGAAAATGATGGGCTTGGCATTAGATTAACAAAGCAAGGTGTCTGCTTTATATTCTCTTCTTAAGACAAAAATCAGGACTTCAAGGATTTCTTCAAAAAGTATTTTGAACATACACTTGCTGGTTTTGTCAAAAGAAACTGTTTTTCTTTCCAAGAAGTAAAATAATAGTTCCTAATTCCTGAGGTTTCCAAAATTGTACAACCCTAAAAGCACCATTCAGAAAGAACAGATTGTTGAGTGATCCTTATATGTGATGGTTCTGCCTGTACTTACATATTTTCATGATAGTGTTATTGTCCTTTTTAAAAATAGTAACAAATACCTAAAGCTGTGCATTTCATATATGCTCTCATTTTAGAGTCTTGGCGTTTTCCTTGTCCCCTGTTACTTCCGTCACTATTAAGATTGATGAAGTTAATTTAGGGCAGGCTGTTCATTTGTCTGGTCCTATTTTCATACTGAAGTGGAAGCCCAGAAACTACAGTAATGGAACACATAACATAGAAGTAATTGTCCAGGTAAGTTCATTTAAAATTTATTATGTAGATGATTAGGTTGTTGCCATAATGAAGTCTGATTTGGGAGTTTTTGTTTTTTGGTCAGTTGATAAACACCTAAGTAAAATGTTTGAATACATTACATTTAATATATTCAAAAAGTGAGCATGCAGGGAGAATTTTACTGTTAAATTAATAACGCCACAGGATAAGAGTTAATAAACAACTATTGGCCTCTGTCCTCTTTTTAATCTCAGGGAATCATCCTCTTTTTTCTCCTGACATTGGCCAGGTTCTTTTAATAATGGGGACAAATTCCCCAATATACCTCCACGCTTTTGTGTATCTACTTGTTTGATTGCTGTCTCTAAGTGTAGGGAGATTGTGTCACTATTTGAAAGCTCTAGGACCCAGAATTTAAAGGCTACAAAGAAACTTTTTTGTTTGGGAGTATGTGTTATCAACATATGCAATAACAGTGTCCTTGTCCTTATTCTATTCAATTTGAGACATTTAATTCATTAGCACCTGGCAAAATAGAAATTGATAATTATTACCAATATAGGGCAATTTCATCAAACTCTTCAGGGTTTAAGCAGTGCTTAGAAATTAGTTTATTTTTTTTTAAATGTCAATTTCTTCAATATGATGATTTTATGATAGTTTTCACTATTTAATCTTTAAATGTTAATTCTCAATTTGAAATTCCAAATAACCTATCAGAAAACACATATAATTATTTTGATTTTCCATCCCCTTCCACACATGCACACATACACAGAACAGATCCCATATGTAGGAATTATTTATTGAGCTTTTTCTTTTCTTTTTTTTTTTTTGCAAAACATTTATTGGTACATTTTAGATATACAAAATGATAACATTCATCATAGGGAATTTGTACCTGTACATGATATATCTTCTTTTTTTCCCATCCCCCCCCATTTGACCCCATTTCCCCTGCTTATTTACAAAAGCTTTGTTTCCATTTTTTCTTTCTATTCTCTTTTTTTCTCTTGTCCATTCTTTCTTTTCCCCCTCCCCTCTCCCTTGTTCCTCTTCTCATTTGAACATTTGTTTCCTATTTCCCAATATCTGTTATACATTTTAGTCCTTATTTCCACTTTCAGTTTTTCACACCAGAGAAACAATGTGGTATTTAAACATGTGTGTTTGATTTATTTCACCTAAGAGTATGGTCTCAAGGTTCATCCATTTAGCTAGAAACGTCTCTAGCTCATCCTTTAGAGCAGAGAGTAGTACTCCACTATATAAAAAAACTACATCTTCTTTATCTATTCATCAGTTGATGGGCATTTTGGCTGTTTCCAAGATTTAGCTATTACAAACTGGGCCTCTATAAACATGGGTGTGCATATATCGCTGTGGTGTGATGCTTTTAATTCTTT